GACTTCGCAAAGTTTCTAGTCGAGAACCTCTCGCTTTTTTGTGGGCTGTGTGCTGGCTGGCGGGATCTGCGTATAGTGTAACTTTTGTAGAAGGAAGATGCTGCGCAATTCCAACTGAAAGAGTTGGCATCGAGGCGCAGGACCTAAATATTCATGACTGGTCTCAGTTTCTAGATCAACCGTCTTTGTCTCAACTGTGGACGCTAGTTAGGATAAAACATTCATTTGTTCTTTCACCGATATTTTGAGAGTGCGCACAGTACCTCACTTCAAATTAGAATTGGGAGGATCCGTGGTTTCATTTCCCCTTTGTGTAGAGCTATGATCTCCTTTGAATATTGCCTTCGCATTTTCTTATTATACTTACTAGGGTTTCAACTTTGGCAAGATTAATAATGCCTTTATTTCACCGCATATACAAACAGCACAAGATGACATTGACACTGAAAGGTTCTTTGTGCCATTGGAGCTTCGATAATCAAGATTTCGCCTATGTGAAAGGAAACTTTTAGCTCACTTCTCATTGGAATAATAGTTAACTCAGGCTGTCTTGAACTTCTTGCATGTAATGCGATAGCTCACAAACTCAAACACGCAATATGAAGCCTAAAACTCTATAATTGGCCAGTGGGAGTAAGCCTAACGGAGAAGGAGGAACTCCGAAAGTGAGAGTCGCTCACACACTCGGACCACCTCCTCTGAGGATTAGTCCTAAAACAGCGTTTCTTCGTTTCGTTTCACTCGAAAGCAGATCAACTAATGGTACCCGACTTTGAAGCTTGCTGTACACATCATATTTAGATGAAATATCGCCAATGCGCATTTTGTAAAACTACGGGTTTGTGCTAGCCCATAGAAGAATTGTGCGCACGACAGACAACTATGGATTTCGCGGCCGCACAATTACTGGTCAGTAGGGGGTACGTGACTACACTACGTGAGCAGGAACACTAGAGTCGACGCCTGCTCCCGTAAACGGCTTGAGCCTTCCGTCGAGTAAGGATTTATTGGTGTACTAGTAATAGGTAATTATTCCAATGAAGCAAAACTTGCAATGGATCCGCACAGTAAAACAGCACCGCTGGCACCGCTGCATTGCCGATTATATGAGCTCGAGAGTGTTGAGGCCATTGCTCTTTCGAAAACTACAAAGAGGTAGGCGGAGAGGCACAAATCTTGCCCGAATGCTTGGAATAACCGGAGATGGTCCTGAAAAAGTAAAAGATATTTGCCCTTTTTCCTATTCGACGATCTGCGAGTTAGAAACGGGATCGTTTTCATCATGCAATTAGGGATTTTTCTCAGAGAGTGTTGCACTTCTAGAGAGGCATGGGAAGGAGCAGACAATTTCAAAATTGAGCTCTCGGTGAATGCCGCCTGCTTTTTGTTCGCTTGAAGGCGGATAAGAACGAAGGACGAAGAAAGGGAACTAATCCATAAGGAGACAGGCGGTGAGTGTGCAATTCGCGTCGAAGGATACGCCCACATCACAGGATCCCAGGACATTCTTACCCTTTGGAGTATTGGCCCGGAACGCCCACCGATCATGTAATCACTTGACGCAGTCTATATGAGTGATTGAGATAGCAGGAGAGAGTGTTAGCGTTGAAGAGGGCACAAGGATGTGATTAGCATCAAAGCGGAAATCAATGGGGGAAGAAATTCCAGGTTTCTCGAGTTTACGGCGTTCATTTAGTTTTCAGTCAGGTCAGTTCTACATGACTTTTATCTCATCCCTGCTTCACTGACCACCTCTGCCTTATCCTACCACATATAATTCGCTAAGTATGTGCGTGTGAATGTATATTTGTCACGAATTTTGTAGCGCGCGTGGCAGCAGTCACATGGAGGATGTTCCATGGGGTATGATATAGGGACGGTGCGAAGATGAATTTGACTGAAGGAACAAGAAGGTGAACATTAACTAATGCATGAGATCCCGATAATCGGCGTTAAAACGCGGAAGTTGCGAAGTGCACGGGCGCGCGACTCCAGCAGCAGTGGCATTATGTTACTCAGTGCAATAGCTGTTATACTCAGTCCTATGCTACATGCGCGCGATAGCGAGCGGAGCAAAACTGGTTTCTAAGCTATCTTTCCATCGTAAAATTCGTTTTGTCAAGGTATTGGCTTGTTGGGAAAGTTTCTGATGATTTTGACAGTCAAGGTCAATTGCGCATATTTCGGCTCAAACTAAACAGTTTTGATCGAAATAAAAACTTTTACGGTATCTATATATTCGGAGGGAGTTCAATAGACATGGAACGTGAAAAGACTGTAGCTCGAAAAAAGTCACCGAAGGAAATTTCACCTTCATGTTGGGTTTCGTTGTCTGATTTCTTTGAAAGTCTATCCACATGGCTGAAAAGTGGCTGTTGGTGGGAAAGTGGGCTACTGTGCAAGGCGGTCGCAGCAGTTTTGAAGCTGAGCAACATAGTTCGACTTGTGCGCGGCTGGAAGTGCGAGATGCTGTGCAAATGCGGGGAAAAGAGCCGTCGGCACCAATTTGTCGACTTCTTTGGACGTTCTTTGGACACCTGTATATTTGGGAACCCCATCTCAGTTACGCCTGATTAAAAGCGGCCTGTTCAACAGTTCCATGCAGATTTGGTTTGATCAAAACCCTCAGTTAATCTTTGTCAGTCTCCGACCTTCACCCTAATCTTCTTCGAAGCTTTCATCATCGCGAGAAAGACATTTTGAATCACGACTGCACAGCGAGTTTTTCGTGGATTTGGTACCAAATGCTCAGTTGATATCCGGACTTGCTTCAGCACATTCTCCTCCAAATTCGAGAGAAAACAAGAAACTCGTACAAATTAGTCTGTTGACTATCTTCTATTCAAGACTTCAAAAGAGAGGACAAAAGTATTTCATCTTTAGCAAATATTTGTAGTTGTTGAGGACTCTTTCTTTTCAAGCTTTATTGGTGAGCTTTCGCTGATATAACAGCTTCCTCAGACCTATAAAAAAATTACAAGCATATCACAATTAAACAGCCTTTACAATACTTATAGCAAATGATAACTAACTGACCAGGCGGCTACTTTCAATTAAAGAATTCTGCAAACAACTACTTGAGACTGCAAAGTTAAGCTACAATCCGAACTAACACAATTGGCGACAATAGAATGATGACACCTTACCCTAGGACAGTCGCTAACCAAATGAAAAGTACTCAAATTGAGCACTACGTGACTCTTTCCACAGTGCTGAGACAGTCACTTGATAGCGTGTGCCTCTAGCAGTTTTCTTTCCAAGGAGACATCCTTCGAGCGGTGGAGCACGGTGACTTTTATGGAAGGAGGCGGTTCTTGTCCGTGGTAAAGTGTACGATGTCGCGAAAAACCGCTGTTTGGATATGACGAAGGGTTCTCAGCGCTCGTACATGTTCATCAATCCTTTTGTATAACGGCGTTTGTAGAACGCAATTCCCGTGACCAAAGATCTTCTTTCCATGCGATCTAGGTAGACGACGACAGTAGAGGTGCAATCCTCAGTCTCATGGCTAAGCCGCGTTTCTGTGAAAAGAATTCCCTGTCGAATTGAATTGCACCTCAATGTAGCAACCAGAAGTTGACGAAGATCGTCATCCAAAAGTCCGAAAGTGTGCACTCCTCGATGGATGTTGACGAAGGTTTCATCACAGATTCGACAGCCTCATTGTTTTTAAAATTTATGTACGGATAAACTGCGTCGAAGCTTGCATAGCCGCATCATCAGGTAATTTAGGGCAGACATGAAATCTCCGCACAATTGATATATTGAGTCAGCTGCATGATTGAGTAGCGGCGATAGGAGCTTGACGAGAAACCAGCTTATTCTATCTGACGGACTTCCACATGAGGATATGATCGGTTTCATCTTAACCTGGTCCTCATTGACGCAAATCAACATTTTCGGGCAATTCTTCCTGCAGTGCGCTAAATACCCTTTTCAAATTAAGAAAGGGCATGAGTTATACGATATTAGGTTGTCTCATAAATAGTGTCGCTTTTTTTCAACCAAAAAATTTTCGTCTAAATCCCCATGCCTTTACACCATTCATATACCATTCGAAAGAGAATTGTCTGCTCTACAAGATGCTATGTTCCTCTTCCACCTCTGTTCCAGGGTTTTCAAATTTTAGGCCTGCGAAATGGGAGGTCCCGCCGACAAAAATTGACCAAACCGACAACTAGCTCTAACTTTATTTTCCTGCGGAGAAATCAATCAATGATGTACCCTCTACTTACTCATGACCTCTTCTGAACATTCCACCCTTAGGTTGCCGAAAAAGGTTTGCCCTGTTTCTTTTCGAATTGGCCGACCGATAAGCCATGGCAATTTTCAAATTGAAATTCTTCCTCTGAAACGCTATTGTTTTATATCAACTGGTGTATCTTTTGTGAGCACTTCTTCTATTTATTCGTTCATTTGTTTTTGTTTACAGTTTTGTTCCGATTAGCTCGAATGCTAAGTGTTTAGGCTACAGGTGCTCATCTAACTCAATTGACGCATTTCTTTGAAAAAAATTATTCCTGAGAAGATGAGAAAATCAACCAGGCGTACATTCCTAACATTAGTCATGACTTGTTCTTTAAATTCTACTAGTTTTTCAATGTCTCGGCTATAAAAAAATTTCGACCTAGATCTCAGGTAATGGTGCTCGACCGTCGAGTTCTGGTTGAAAAACCAGGTCTGGAAATGGAACGACGCGACTTGTTGGGAAACCTAATAGTGTAATGTTTAGAAGAGGTCATGAGTAAGTAGAGGGTACATCATTGATTGATTTCTCCGCAGGAAAAATAAAGTTAGAGCTAGTTGTCGGTTTGGTCAATTTTTGTCGGCGGGACCTCCCATTTCGCAGGCCTAAAATTTGAAAACCCTGGAACAGTGGAAGTGGAACATACATCTTGTAGAGCAGACGATTCTCTTTCGAATGGTATATGAAATGGTGTAAAAGCATGAGGATTTAGATGAAAATTTTTTGGTTGAAAAAAAGCGACACTATTTATGAGACAACCTAATACTTCATCCCGAGAGATGTAGACGGCTGAACTCTTGTCCATCCTTTGCGTAAGAACAACGAAGTCACCACATTTGTCACTTATACTGATCGAAACTCATTCTTCAGACGTGATAACTTTCTCAAGCCCTGTCTTTCTTGTACAGTAAGATTCGATCAAACATTCGCTGTCGTATCGGTTCTATAAGCTTGTATCAGGTTAAGCTGCAGTGATCCTAGTGCAGGTTCCAGTACAGGTGCTAGTGTTGGTGTTTAAACCGATAGTGTTGGAAAAGTATTTTAGTGTTAAAGAAAGAGGCAATCTAGGCAGCGAGAAATGCGCTTCGCTGATACCAAGTAGTACGAACCGGCTCTACTCCTTTTTGGGAGCGCCGCTTCCCTTATATTACCTTCTTCCCCACTTTGAACTCTTTTTCTTAATCTCGAGCTAACATTGGATGTATTTGACCATGCTTCCTCTATCAGGCGGTGAACTCCCTCTAAACTTCTAATAATGCGAGGTCTCCTGAACCGTATACTACTATCCTTTCTCACCACGTTTCTTGCCATCATTCCACTTCTAATTCTGATTTCTGATGGGGAATGATCGCAAGAAAACGCAGTGAGAGAGGTGAACAATACATGCCGCTTTCAGGAAACCTACGTACTTAGAAGCTCATAGAGGAGAAAACTGCCCCAAGAACTGATAGAGGAAGCATGGATCAAATACATCCAATGTGCGCGATAAAGAAAATGAATTGGAAGTGGGGTAGAAGGTAATATAAGAGAAGCAGCGCTCTCTAATGTGCGTAATGGGAGTAATGTCCGGCGTCAGAGTCGCGAGCTTCATATGAGTTTGTTGATCTGCAAAACGTCGGTCATCATTTACCGGGATCCTCTAACGTTAAATGCATCCACATTTACAGGAAAAATCACAGAAAAGTTGGGAATAAACAAATTGGAAAATCTCTAACCACTATTGGTGCATCGCCTTTCCCTATACAGCACACTCGAGCAGAAACAAGAATTAAACGATGGATGGCTCCAATCAGATATCCAACTCCAGCCAAAAACAAAGTTGATCTGAAACTGTGCTAGTGAGCATTCATATCCTAAGATGAGGAAGGAACTGTTTTGCTCACACAGATATCCAGCCAAACGCCAAAACCACTAGGTATGACTCAACACGTACACGCTATTGTTGGCATTAGTCTAACACTTGATTTAGGTTTAGCCCTCCCTCATGACCTTGCCTTGATGACTCATGATTTGTAGAGAAGGCGATCAAAAGAGACCTTTCCGTCCTCTCCCAAGTTCCTCATTTCAAATAGGTCACATTTCACTAAACGTGTGTTTGGTTGAAATCATGAAGCCCACATCATACCGTCACCAGAAAGCACCCACACCAGACCAAGTTGGAGGGGGAAGGGGGTAAGGAGCAAGAGCGCTCAATTATGAAAGTAGGGGCATATAGTGGACCGTCAGTCGAGAAAAAAAAGAAGAGGACCCGTCGTATACAGAGGAAAATTTCTCTTCTACGATCGGATAATAAGCTGCAGAAAGCTAAATGAGAGAATGGGAGAAATGGGTGCTGTGGGTAGAAGGAAATTCTCGAGCATACGATCAGCGAGATGATGTAGATGATTGATAACACTACGGTAGGGAGCGGACTAGCAGCAGTGTTGATTGACCAGTGTTTGGCATCAATAACGTTGATTCTAGGGCATCCTCTGCCACGAAGGGCGTTGTATCGCATCGTTGCGGCTCCTATTCTTTTCAATTTGTTCGCAACTTTCGCTCCCCTAAACCTCTGGGTTGTGCCTTCGAAAGCTTTGGGCGGGAAACCATTTCGTCACTTTCCGTTTGTGTATGTTCAGGGAATATCATACGCAAATTTTGAGGAAAAAGGAAATTCCGAAACTCTGAAACTCACTTCTATTCGAAGGCAAACCCAAAGATGAGTTCATATGGACCAATGCCTCGGCTGTTGGCATGAATTGGCCCACCAACAGGCCGAAAGAATACTTCGCACTCCAGCCCGACTCCGCTAATAGTTTTGTGCAACGAAAGAGCATCTAGACGCAAGTCATTCCGTCCCCTCTTCATCAAATCATGTAATTGCTCCTGTCCTCACGTTTCCACATCCGCACGCCTCAGTTCCTCATTGGTTTAGCCTAGTCTAAGTTGGGGGCAGGCAGGAGAAACCTCCAGATTCAGCATCCCATTTACTATAAGACGCTTGCTACTGTTTTCTGTGCATCGTCTGTAGTATATCACGGACTGTCGCCTAGCCACGACTGGAGGTCCGCCAATTCGAAGAGATGTGGTCAGTGATGGATGGGTGGAACAAAGGTCTCTGTAGAAGTACAAAACAACGACATCAGATGCTAGGCGGGAGCCCCCGCCCAACAGAGGGGCGTGGCCAATGACGTCAAGTCGACAGTACTCGCCGACCGAGGCTATCAAATTACTAACCAAAAACAGGGATAAGAGAGGAAAATGGTGTGCGTTTGAGGTAGTGATAAGTCCGAAATTAAAAGAGAACGTGTTGTTGCGATGAAAGAAGAACGTACCTCTAAAGTGATGCCCGAGCGCTAATATATGGAAAATTGTAAACTCGAATGATAGACTAACCTATGAGGCAAAGAACACATGCGGTGTACGGAGAGCAAAAAAAAATTATGAAAGGTGATTCGTCGCATACCTGAACTTGTGGAAAGCAGCACCACTGTGTCAGTAAGCGTGAGGGCTTTATGGACCCGAAAGCCGTGGTACCATACCCGATTTCGAAAAGGATGTTCACGAGCTTATAGGTAGAAGTGTGGGACGTTAGCGTGGCGCGGTTGTGCGCACGCAAATCATGTAACTTGTGTGTGCGAAGAAATCCTTGAAAACTCAGGAAAAGTGGACGAGCTGCGAGCAACAAACGGAGGATCAATTATTGGTATCATGGATGGCTGGGGCGTTGTAGACAATGTAGACTGGAGATTAATCCACGGAAGCGTTATAACGTTGGTTTCCAAAAGAGTCGCTGGAAAACCAGGGAAAAAGCTGATTAAGGGTCCGGACAGCACGAAAAGGGAGGTCAACATTTATATTCGGGTGGAGAGTTCACGGAAGTAGGCGAAGTTCTCAGAAAAGCGTAAATATCGATGGCCCTGTTTTTTTTTATCCGTGTTGTCCCGCGTGGGATGCACGCGAATGCATGCGCAGCCAAACTGGTGGTGTACATTATGATTTTGTGTCGGAGTGCACATGAGGGCATCGATTTACCGGCCAGAAAGATTTGGGAGAACGTTGAAATTGAGCGGCTACGAATAACGGTATTTTTCCTCTGAGAGTACTTCAATGAGCCAACATTCGCTTGGGCTGCCTTAAGTATTATCTATTTAACGAGAGATTCAAGCTCAATCAAGGAAGAGAATTGTTCACCCACTACTCCAGAAGTCGTTCTATTGTTTTATTATAATTTTAATTTCTTTCTATAATATCTAAGGCAGCTGACTAGATGTTCCGCTAAAATAAATTTAACAGTGCGCTAAAGAAAAATCTGGTGCAAAAGTTGCTAATAGAAAATAGTATCGATAAAAAATGCGAGGTTCAAAAAACCAGGATGCCCACTTGTTGGCGTGCATGAGGACCAAAACCCGAAACTTAGGGGTAGTGCCCCGCTCAACGACGTAAGCAAACCAGCCCTTTTGGCACATCGGCTGGGACCGTATGCTGAATGTTGGGGAGGGGATGGGGTCCCCAACGGTCGACGGTTTACTTCAACTCGGTTGGTACGATAGGAGAGTACTGACGCAAGTGGTGCAGCTGGTCCAGTAGCTTCGCCAGAAGGACCGGTCTGCTCACCCTTGGACTAAGCCTAGGAGAGGGGACGGACCCGTCCTCTCTTTAAGGCTTAGTTCTAAGGTAAGCACCAAATTGTGGCGGTTCTAAGGACCGCGTTGAAGTTGTCCGTCCACCGTCGGGGACACCATCCCCTCCCCAACATTCAGCATACGGTCCCAGCCGATGTGCCAAAAGGGCTGGTTTGCTTACGTCGTCAAAGCCTACATACCAGAGCAGGATCGTTAGATGGTTCACTATTAATCTGGCGGATGATTTGGACATCTTTTGGTGTGGTGACACCCCGAAAATTCAATAAATAGCGAGAAATGGCGTAAACGCATAAAAATAAGGAAAGGGTGTACTATGTTATTTGGCACGTGTTACAAAAACTTTTATATCAATGTGCTAGTTACTGTCATTATGTGCGCCAAGTGACCATAACAATAAATCTCAGCTGACGTGTAAAAATATAATCATCGTACCTGAAATTTACGTGCAGGTTCTTCTGAGTAACACAAATGTAGAAAAATAAAAGAAAAAATGGAAGATATGCAGCATTCATAACTGTTTCGACAAAAAATAGCACGTAGTTCCAAGCGTCTAGTCTTTCATCTTCGGGTAGCATTCCTGCAAAATAATTACATGTCGGAACGTTACGGCCTTTTTCTTTAGTTGAGCACGTTTATTCGAAAATGCTCATTTACTTTGATAAAACTAAGCACACTAGCGCATTTGAAATCACCTTCGCTACGCTAGCATTATTTTTGCTGAAAGATTCATGTGGAGAGAACCCCTTAGTTTCCTAGAGTATAGGGAGGAGAATTTTAGGTGGGGGAGAATTCCGGGTTGGAAGCTTTCCGGAAAAGGCTTCTATCCATAAGAGCCGTGAAATTTTTTCTTGTCTTCATGATCATCTTCAAATCCTTTGATCTTTCAAACAAAATTTCTCACGCATTTCCGTTTCGTAGAGCATTTAGACTGAATCGACCCTCAAGGCGCACAAACAAAGTAGAAGTGGTTACTAATTAGGGGCGTTGCTACCGCTTTTTATTGTGATTTGTGATAATTATTTTACCATAAATCAGAGTAAAGTAATAAGAGCTGAGAGGTGAAAAGTTGTAATTAAGCTGACGAAAGGTAGCATGTGACCTCCGTGGCGTAGTGGCGGTACGATACCTTGGTTTCATCACCTTGAGATGATGTTCGTGACGAGGAACCAACCTCAGATCTGATCTAGTCGGACAATAGGGGTTAGAGTGCAATTTTGGTGAAGCAGTGCGTAGTGTTTGGAGGAATGGGGTTTAGAGACGGGAAAGGGGCATTGTTCAAGTGCGCAATTTCTTGTCAGTTTTGAAAAAAATGGAAAGTTCCAGATCTTAAAAATTTCAGCAGTTCCCGGCTAATTGTATCATTCTCTCAACAGATGAGCATCATCCATCGATCCTACACACTACTGAATTGAGAGGGGGAGGGGGTACAAGCTAAACTATCTTCAATCAAATGGCTATTGGAGGTGGAGCAACTGCAGGTTCCCTATTGCAAGGGGGATTACGGTTGAAATAGAGTATAGAAATAGAGGGATTCAGAACTTAATTGGGGATTTATCTTGCTTTCTTTTTTGTTTTCCAGAACAATTCCCACCTCCAGCTTCATTACTGAACGCTCTTCCACACCCAGTTTATTCTAGGGCTTACCTTTAACTTAGGTACTCACTACCCGCTTAGTTTGTGAGGGGGAAGGGGGTTAGAATGATAATACAAACACCAAAAAATGGTTAAATACAGTACGCTTTCTTCAGTGTGGCAATCGATGTGAGAATGCGGTGAAAATTTCATAGAATGGATACATTTACTAAGGAATGACTCGACGAACCTGTCAAAAATAAATAGAAGAATCTTAAAACGATATACAACATACTCCAACAATAAGGTTTCTTTTACCACCAACGTCGGACAACAAAAGTAAGAATACCTTAGGGAACTTATTGATACCCCGTATACGTAATTGCCCTTTTGAGTAGAATTAGTGACGTTAGAGTTGCATTGCTTCATCAGTCAGCAATATTGAATAATTATAACATAGGTGTTTCCCTGTTATCACCATGGTAGCCGCCAAATACTGTAAATGCTGTTCTAAGGTAAGTCATATTTTCTAACGAAGCAGTGGTCAAGAAATTAACGTGCATATAAAAAAAGCCTGATTTTATATTCATTGTTCTTAGTTTTGATTTATAGACGCACTTGTGTAGGATTACAAGCACACGTGCTTCTCGGACTACAAGTGAACACCGATCGGCTAGTAATTCTAGTTTCAACCTTCCCGTAATGAGTGTTTAAATTAGATTTGTTACTAATGCTTCCAGCAAGGAGGGGCAAACGTTCTTCAGTCAAGGACGACGGAAAAGTCGGATCTCTTCGCGAGCGATGTGACTGATGGGGGACTTACCGTGAGTGTAAATGCAACATTATATATAACATTTCGGTATGCGAAGCATTTTCGCGTGCACCATCGGACACAGTGGTGCCTCATTGCCACGTAAACAGCAGTGGTGCGAGCCATTGCCATCCATTTTTTTTTGAAACGCTTCCTGGCAAACTTCGCCAACCTCGGACATCTTTGAATGAAGGATGAAGTTTCGTGGATGACGCCACTTCTTCCCGCCCTCTGCGACTACCGGAAGACCCCAAAGTATACACGTTCGAGCAAACCTCCACCCATACGGTACACAACCTTCCCCACTTTTTTTTGCACTGTCTGCTGCGAAAGTCGCCGAGCCGCTGTTAATTTAAGTTTTTACAACAAATTTCGACAAAATCGAGTTGCACGTCCCTCCCGACACTTTCACTGGCAAACTCCGCCCACTTAGGTGCGTGCTCTACCCACTAATAGCAGTTGAGCTCTTTTCCCTCACCAACCTCTAACCCCGTTTTCCCCTATCTCTAGGACCTCTTGCAACCGAATTGCGACACTTTTGGCAAACTCCGCCCACTTAGGTGCGTGCTCCGCCCACTAATAGCATTGACCTCCTTTCCTTCGCCCACCTCTACCCCTTTTTCCCGGCCTCCGGGACTTCTTGGAGCCGAGTTATGAATTTTCGTCGCAAACTCCGCCCACTTTGGTCAAGCCCCGCCCACCATTGACAGCTGGCCTCCACTCCTCCATACACCTCTATCCACCTTTTTCCGGCTCTTTAAGACTTCCCCGACCCGAATTATGAGGGCTTGTAGAAAATGCTGTACACTTCAGAGCGCGCCCCGCCCATTCTGGGCGGGCCTCCGCCCACGTCATGTATGCAGGAAACACCTTAGACATTGCTCCCTTACAAATTGTTTTCTGCTCTGTAGGCTTTCTCCCAACCGAGTTATGAAATTTTTCATAAAGCACTGCTTTTTTGGAGAACGCCCCGCCCACCGGGGGTGGGTCTCCCTAATTCGATGTGACTTACCAATGCACACCTTTACCCACTTTTTGGCCCAGTTTCGAGGTCGTTTTGTCACTGAAATCGAAATCTTGGTCTTCGGTACAATTCATTTCGACGCACGCCACGCCCTCTGTGGGCGGGGCTCTTAGCTGATGTGTGTTTTGTATTACGTGAGACCCTGCCCACCCATCCCACACTTGACCCGGTCCCTCCAGGCGGATCCCGAGGAGCTAGGGAATTTCGTGACAGACATACAGAACGACAGACAGAACGACAGACAGACGACGACAGACAGACGACAGACAGACGACAGACGAAGCGCTTCACTTAGTCATGAAGCACTCCACGCAGCGGTTGCTCGGTTTATAGTTACCGAGCTAGTAGAATTCGTAGTGGCGCGAACTCAACGAACAGCTGAACTAGTGTCGATCACTCAGAAAGAATGTATCAAATTAAGGAATGGTCACCAACAGTACTAACACCACACCATTTGTATACCGAGTAGTAGTGTTGAACATTCTAAATTTGCTGGAATGTCCATACATTCGAACCGGGAAGCCCTGAGCAGATAAACAGATTTTTGCCGTGTGAGTTTTTTCGTGTTGTTACCTTTAGAAAAAATAGCTCACTCTCATTAAAAACTTCATTCTATTACTTTCTTTTCAGACGATTGAAGTAAAAACCGCAGGTGTTGATCAAAAAACTTCTTTTTAACACCTGTTTCATTACTACGTTACTTTCAGTGTCATGAATAATTGTAAAGCTAAAAACATGACAGCTGATTAATAGGTTGCTATTAAAAAGCTCGGGACTAGGCGACTTCTACCTAGACGGCACGCCTCGCTCTGTGTCTGATGCGACCAAGGAAAAAAGGGTATAGCATAATTGTACAAGGTAATCAGTTTAACCAGACCAATAAAACTTCCATTGAAGAATTATATTAAAGGAATCCTTCCCGGGAAACTCTTGCTTTCTTTCCCAACTTCAGTGTGTCGGCTGTGATCACTAGAATCAAAATACAAAGCTTCATGCGCGAAGATGCAATTACCAAAGAAAACTTGCGAATACCGCACTATATGAACAGTTGAAGGTAAGTGCACGTGTAGTTTAAAGAAGGGACAAAGAGTGGCCAAGAAGTCCGCCTTGGGGCAGTCACGTACAGGGTGAATATCGCTTGAGGATTCCTCAACGGCACGTCGAGGATTCTCTGCCCGATCAGAGACGATCTCTCGCGCGGACATTCACACTCGCCATGCCGTGCCGTCTGTGCTCTCCGCGCGGATGTTCACTCTCGGCACTACTCTCGCATGGTAGAGAGCTATGGTCGAGGAAATTCCTCGACCGTTATTCACCCTGGTCCAGGGTCAACCGTCCGTTGGACAAAGTCCAACGCGACGACGAGAGTAATGCCGAGAGTGAACGTACGCACGGAGACACAGACGGCTCGCGGGTGGCGAGAGTGAATGCCGGCGCGGAGAGCGGTGAACATCGGTCCAACGTCGCTCCAATATCGGTCCAACGTAACGGTTGACCCTGCGTCACGTACCAGGCGACACAAAAAAATTGGGCTGAAGCGTACCATTTTGGAAAATAGAGAGAAAACGATCAATAGAATAGGATGCAGTAGAATTGTGGGTTGTTAGTGGAATGAGTCAAAAGATCAAAAAGAGTTTCTAAGGACAACATTCCGTGAACCCAATGGGAGCGTGTAGCATTTGTGACAGATGTCCGGCTGGATTTTATTGCGTAGCAGTCCAAGTGGGGGAGTTGAACTATGGGTGCTGTACACTCCAAATCTCGAAGTCTGATTGGGCGTCACCGGAAATGACGTGGCAGCCACCGCACTTGATAGAAGTTGCGCGGATAAGCTGCTTCCAGCTTTGCTGATATCTGGCGGAGTATTTTATCCACACACATCTATCAAGTGCGGTGGCTGCCACGTCATTTCCGGTGACACGCCCAATCAGACTTCGAGATATCGACTGTATATGAAAGGTAATCATGGTTTTTCTAGGGAAGATTCTCTAAGCGAAATCCTAACCGAAACAGTCTATTAGGAGTCTGCAGTGCACAAACTACAGTGCTGCAATCATCGAGCTATGACATTGCGTAGCTTTAGAAAGGGTCAAAATAAAATTGATATGGTTCCAAATTTTCGAAGACTTCCTATTTCATTCGACATGTCATGGTGCTTGACAGCGACG